TATTCAGCAGAGACCCCAGCTCGCAGTTGATACGGCTCGATTAAATTATGCGGATCGACCTGTTCAATGTGAGGTAAACAATTTTGAATAATATTACAGCTTCGGTTTCGAGAATTAATCGAATAAGCCAGGATTTATGGCCGAATGTCTCAAATTTGCTGTTATCCCCCCATCCACAAAGCTAATTCATCGCTTTTCGCCAACTTGGGCCCTCCTTTTCCTATTAATCTAGTCCAAATAACAATTTATGACGACGCGATCCTACATCATTATTATTGAATGGATTGTTTCGAACGGTGAACACGAGTTAATTAACACCCCTCGGTAAGTTCGTAAATTCATTTCTGCCAATTGTGTTTTACTTGAGAATTATTCCACCTGCGAGACAGTTAATTGAGAATTTCATGTTAATGTGTATTTTCGCCATTTTTGAAAGGCGGCAACCCGATCCTTCACGGAATGTAAGAATCACATCGCAAATAACTTTCTTAACTTTTGATCTTGTTAACTCTGATCCATTAAGATTATACCTTTCTAGCACAAATTTAATACCATTTACAGGAATTAACTGAGGAAAAATACCAGTCACAAGTCCCAGAACTTGCTATAATGCGATACCTTAAATTCCATTAAAAATTATCTCATTAATCTAATCTATGAATATCTTAATTTTCCTTCTATCCAATCAGGCACTTACGGGCCAAGAAAACATATTATTAAATATGCTGTGTATAGTAGCAATCAAAAATAGAAGAAATTTGAAGATGTGAAGTTTGATTAAAACACCGTGTTTGGGTGAGATAGACCCTTTTTTTTAAAGTCATGATCCCAATTTGAAAAATTTATTTCGTGTACTGCTATGATCGTTTGGTATAGACCACCTTAAAAATTCTCTTCGATAGGCGTTAAAACACATGTCTGTCAACGTCGATATNTTTTTTTTGGATGACCCGGCCGAATCTCTCTTGGACCGATGACGGTATGAAAAAACAAAACGTACGTGTATAACACTTTTTAGTTTCAAATGTTTACTTTTTTGTAGAAAAATTGTACCACTGGTGTCCAGTTGTAACTGGAATTGTACTTCAGACCTTAATTAATTGAAAGATATTAATTCTCCTAGAGGACCACGAAAATTAACGAATATAAAAATATTATTTTGTTAGGTATGGAAAACCTTAAACATTCGTATTGGTTGAAATGAAAACGTTAGGGTCACGAGCGGGATTCGAACACACGACCTTAAACTTGTACTTAAAAATTCACTTGTACTGGCGTGAAAACACATTTCAGTCGAGGTCGATATACTTATTTTTAGGCATTCCGGCTGGATTTCTTTTAAACCAATGACGATTTATAAAAAAAATTGTTTTGTATTTTTAGTCAAGTTTCAAATGTTTACGTCTTTTTTGTAGAAAAATTGTACAGCGTATTTCAGATCCAGTTAAATTTCAGAATATCAAATACGACATCCTTGCACATCATGTTAAAAGATTGTTGACGCCGAAAACATCGGATTTTTAATTCGACAAAAATTGACAAAGTTATGGCAGAAAGTTTGAAGAAAAAAAACCGTATCATGTGTTGTAATAATACAATTGTGCATTATACACAGAGTATATTTTTATGTATAAAAAAAACTAACAAAAATATATTTCAATGAAATTTCAAAAATATCAAATTTGAATTAGAAGCCATTCTAAACCCGCACGACTTGTAAGTGTTGTGTTAGTGTTGGTGTTGGCGCCGTCAAACAGTCTAAAGATTAACCATTTAGAGAAATTTCGGTGGTATATTGTTGCTGAAAACAGTAGTCCAATAGGAATTTAAATTGGTTGAAAATGACAAAGTTATGGCAGAAGGTTTGAAAAAAGAACCACTACAGTGTATTTTAATATTACAATAATGCATTATATATGTATTTTTATGTATAAAACATACTATCAAAATATATTTCAATGAACAGTTTAATTAGGAAACATTGAAGATGCCTCCAAAAATTTATAATAAAAATTTAATTTCCAATTAATTAAGGTTTTAATTTGAGATAAAAAGTCAGTGTCACGAGCGGGATTCGAACCCACGTTCGGCTTGATACGCCGCTACTTTACCACTTGAGCTATTGTGACTTCGATCACATCGGGCAGTAACCTTTATCTCAACTTAAAACCTTAATTAATGAATTGAAATGAAGTACAATTCACTAAAGCTGTCCGTGGCGATTTCATTTGTCGGCGAGAATCCAATCCGCTTACACGACATTTGAAGAATGGCAAAAAAGAGGGAAAATTCAAAAGGTGGGAAGTTAGTGCCCGAGGTGATCGAAGTCACGATGGCTCAGGTAGAGTAGCGGCGTATCAAGCCGAAGGTCGTGGTTTCGAATCCCTCTCGTTACACTGACTTTTTTTTATCTCAACTTAAAACTTTTATTAATTGGGCAAGCGGACCACGAAAAATAGTGAATATAAAAATTTAAGTTTTTTACGTAAAGACCACCTTAAAAACGCAAGTCCATCGTCCTCTATCTGGTTAGAATGGTACATCCCGATTTTCTTAGTTATTACAAGGAGCAATGCTGAAAAATATTTTCTACAGAAATGGGTGGTGGTAAATGGAAAAATTGTACAAACCTTTATCTGATTTCAAGCATAATTTAACTGGCAACGTCCCCAGCGGTGCTTTAGCTCAACAATTTACAACTTTTCTTTCGAAGTATATTATTTTAGAACTGTTTTATTAACTTATAATTTTTTTTAAATTATAAAGGTTGTAACAAGGTTCCCTGTTTAAACCAGGTTTTTTAAAAATAAAAATAAACTCAAATCAATTCTCCTTTTTTTAAAAACTTTATTGAGCAAAATTAACCATTGATTAAAACTAATTAAAATTTTATAAGGAGGTAAACTATTCGAGGCCGTATGAAAAATTAGAGGGTTAATAAAATAATTTCTCTCACCCTATCCTTAATCCGATAAAAGAGACCACCTTCCTACACGGATGTCCAGCTTACTCTCCTTATTTATTTTTCCTAGAACAATCCGTGGGCAGGCCTCAATGATAAGGGAGAATGTCAGGGGATTATTGGGTCAATCAGTTAACGATGACCCTGACAAGGTCTAAGCACTATTAACCAGAAAAAGCTGGTAATTACGAAGAAACTATGTTTAAAAAAGTCTTGTAAACATTCAAACTAATAATTTATCTGAGTTTTATGAAAAGGAGTTTAAACTAGAATTTACAATCAGATAATTTCTTTTTTGACTCGTTGCTTAAAAAATGGGGCTTTAAAAATCCGCAATTAAATTTTAATTAAAAATGCATACGTGTAAAATTTCGTCCTTCTTTGACTTAACTGAAGATTGTAAAGTGTAATGAATTAAATAACTGTTCAATTTTCATGTTCAATAAAATTAAAACCTCCATTTAACAGTTAATGTCTGAACATGTTTGGCCAAGTACACGGCCGCCGAAGGGTACTCGTGTTCCCGAGGAAATTGTGATTTACTGCCTTTAAAAAGCCCGTTTAATTATGCAAATGAGCATCTGCGCCGGGTGTCGGGGCGTTTTTGGATCAAGCTATTTCTAATCTAGCCCCCTTTTAATGGCCGAAGGATCATAAACAGGCCGTGGAAGGTTTTTTTCTCTAAAACGTCACAGCCGATGTAACCCTCAATTTTAACTGAAAACCAAGAAAAACTCTTTATTGTAAATATATTCAAAATATCCTTTCGTAGATCAAGGGATGAATTCAAACTAGAACACACTTTTTGTAGGGCTGAAAAAGTACCAGGGTTGGAATTGTGTCAGGATATAAAAGAACAGTGGAATCGTCGACGGATTCAATTTATTATCAACCCATATCATTCAATGTCATATTTCAGATTACTCCTTTTTTTCTATCCTATGTAATCTTGACTGTTATATATCTCCATGTTTCTTTGCATTAATGTCATCTTTATTTATCTCTTAAGTAATTGAGAATAATAGTTTTCCAGCCAATACGCATAAATCGATCCAGAAATTTTCAAAACGGCCTTTTGCAATTTATTCTAATGTAACTTTCTTACTGATTGCTTATTTTTTATTTTGGTAACGACAATGGAGTCATCTCAATCTCCAACGCACTCTGAGGGTCGATGGTGTGCTCGATATTCCGCCGTCGCTCTATTCAGTCAAATATATAGGTTGTCCGCTACTCGCGTCACAAACTTTCAACTTTTCTTCAGAGTGAAAAAAACGTTCCTCTGAACAATAGCCCGATCATCAAGTGTAAGGGAGAAATTGAAATTTTTCATTTTTACAGGATTGTATGATTTTACTTCAGAAAAACAACAGGCTGCGATTTCTGTTGTCCGATCGTAAGCACTGATTTCTATTGCCAAATATGATTTTGTAATTTTTGTTGACAGATTTGATGCTGTAATTTATGTACTGTGATTTCCATTGCCATCATAATGCTAAAATTTCTGGTGTCAGATCTGATGCTGTGATTTTTGTTTTCAGATTTGACGTTGTAAATTCTATTGTCAGACCTGATGCTAAAATTGCTGTTGTCAGATTTGATGTTGTAATTTCGGTTGTCAGATGTGATGATGTAATTTAGGTTGCCAGATTTGATGCTGTAATTTATGTACTGTGATTTCCATTGCCATACGCAATGCTAAAATTTCTGGTGTCAGATGTGATGCTGTGATTTTTGTTTTCAGTTTTGATGTTGTAAATTCTACTGTCAGACCTGATGCTAACATTTCTGTTGTCAGATTTGATGTTGTAATTTCGGTTGTCAGATTTGATGGCAAAAAATTCAGGGTTTATTTTAAACGCCTGTTGGCAAACAAAGGAGCAACAAATGTTTCAAAAAGTTCTCAATTTAGTAATCTTTTCAACGGAGTAATTGTTTTTTTAAATTACCTTTTTTCCATCTATTCACCAGGAGACAAATCATTAATATCCAAATCCATCCGTCTTCATTTTGTTTAACAATTGTGCATTTGTTTCAGTGGGAGAAAATGGAACTGTTTGAAAAGTACAAAGTTCTCGAGAAGCAGATGAGCAAGGAAGACGACTACTCCAGCTACAGGTCGCTCCTCCGGGCGGCATCTGCCAGGTTCAACAAGGACGACCCTAAACTCTCCGTCGTGATACCCGTCTTCGCAATCCTGGCCGCCGACCTTTACGCACTCTGCGACCATTGCCTTATCAAGTGAGTTGCATAATAATAATTTATGTATATTTTTTACCTTTTTTATTTTCCTAAAAAGGATTTTTTTAAAAATAAGGTGTGTCCAAGAGACACGTGGTTTTTATACACGTTAATTTATTTCACATTTTTTCATCTACGTTTCAACTCAAAGGGCTTGAGGAGAGCCAATTGGATAGCTGTCTTACAGAAAAAAACACAATTGAATGACAGGCGAGACTGCTAGGTAATTAATATAGATATAATGATGATAATTAATATAAATAAAAATTAAAATATTAATTACTGATAATATAATGTAAACTAATTAGCGGTATTGTTACGGCTTCCTGATGACGGGCAGAAATGAAAGCGTTTCGGGCTGTTTTTTATTTTTTGTTTGATGAAACGTAAATAAAACATGTGAAATAAATTAACCTGTATAAAACCGACCTGTCTCTTGGTCTAACCTTATTTTTAAAAAAAACTCCTTATTAGAAAAATTAAAAAAAGGTAAAATAATATATATAAAACAATATACATAATTAACCTGCAGATGTGGAATCTTCCAAAAATATAAATATGAATAATAATTTTTCAAAACATGATTAATGTGCATTTCAAAAATTCAAGTTTCATTGTTGTGTATTTTCTATTTTTGAATTTTATAAGATCTATGGTTTTTTTAAAAAAATGTTTATTTTCCTCGGTTTTAACTTTCATGTTGTGAAAGTGCGCTCTGCAGGTGACACATAAATTATTGTTTTGCATTTATATTAACTGGGCTTGTACGAATATAATAATTATAATAATTTAAATTAAAATTAAATTATATTTGTTGAGTTTCTATTCTGGAACTAAACAACCATTATATTGATTTTCTTTTTATTGAAAAAGAAATTTTTTAAGTTTAATTTAATTTTTATTGACAAAGAAAATGAGTATGAAGGTTGTCCACTTTCTGGAAAGATAATATGTATAAAGAGAAGAAATATGAAAAATCAACAACTGGAAAAGAAGAGTGAAAAATATCAAAATAAATTTACATATATATATCATCACATCAAATAAAAAATACAGAGACAAACCGCAATCGTGGTGACTTCAACCCTAATTTTATTCCCTGTCTGTTTCTTGCTCACACTCTCTCTCTCTCTCTCTCTCTCTCTCTCTCTCTCTCTCACTCTCACTCTCACTCTCACTCTCTCTCTCACAAACACACACACTTTTTTTCTCCATCTACCTCTTACTATCTCTCTCTCTCTCTCTGACTCGGCCTGTCTTCTTTCTTTCACTATTTTTCTCTCTCCTCCTCTCACCCTCTCTCTTTAACTTTCTTTTTTTCACGCTCTTTCCTTTTCCTTTTCTCGTTCGTTCTCTAACTCTTTCTCATTTTTTCTTAATCTCTCTCTCTCTCTCTCTCTCTCTCTCTCTCTCTCTTCTTCTTCTTCTTCTTCTTCTTTATCTCTCTCTCTCTCTCTCTTTCTTTCTGTATCAGCCTCTTTTCTTTCCCTCCCTCTATCTCATATTCTCTTTCTCCCTACTTTTTCTCTCCCCTTCTCACCATCACTCTAACTTTCTCCTTTTCACGCTTATTTATTTTCTCTTTTTTCTCTAACTATCTCTCTCTTCTTCTTTATACTCTCCCTCTCTCTCTCTTTCTTTCTTTATCACCCTCTTTTCTTTCTCTCTCTTTATCTCATACTCTCTTTCTCCCTACTTTTTTCTCTCCCTTTCTCTCTTCTTCTTTATACTCTCCTCTCTCTCTCTCTCTCTCTTTCTGTCTGTATCACCCTCTTTTCTTTCTCTCTCTTTATCTCATACTCTCTTTCTCCCTACTTTTTTCTCTCCCCTTCTCACCATCACTCTAACTGTCTCTTTTTCACACTTTTTCTTTTTCTCTTTTTTCTCTAACTCTCTCTCTCTTCTTCTTTATACTCTCCCCCCTCACTCTCTCTTTCTCTTTCTTTCTGTATCACCCTCTTTTCTTTCTCTCTCTTTATCTCATACTCTCTTTCTCCTTACTTTTTTCTTTCTCTCCTCTCACATCACTCATTTTCACGCTCTTTCTTTTTCTCTTTCTTTCTCTAACTCTCTCGCTTCTTTATCTCTTACTGTCTCCCTCTCTCTCTTTTTCTTTCCGTATCACCCTCTTTTCTTTCTCTCCTTCTATCTCGTATTTTTTCTCCTTATTTTTCTCTCTATTCCCCTCTTCTACATCATACTCTATCCTTCTTTCATTCTCTTTCGTTCTTTCCCTTTATCCCTATCACTTTTTCCCCTTCTATCCTATACTCTCTCTCTTTCTTTTCCTCTCTTTCCATTTCTTCCTCTCTCTCTTTCCATAGACTTTCTATTTTATTTCCCTCTGCCCTCTACCTCATTCGCTCTTTCACACTCTCCCTCTCTTTTTCCCTCTGTTTGTTTTATCTCTCTCTCACACGCGCTCCCACTATCTCCTTTTTTTCTCTAACCGAATCACGGTTTGCACCTTCATATTTTCGAAGAAATTTAATTTCCCAGTTCGACTTTTAGGAGGTTTGGAGGGAACAAGTAAAAAGGAAGTTGTGGTCGGTGGACAAGTGTCTCCTTTGAAACCTGTTATTCCGAAGTTGTGTAACGTTCTGAATATAATAATAATTGAATAATTAGAAATAACTATTTAGCAAGTTTTTTCAAAAATACATTCATGGCGACGGTGGGAATATAGGGTGGGTAAAAAAGGTATTGCGGGTTTGCCTACCGTGTCCTTTCCCATTACAAAGGAACCAAAAAACTGTTAACATTTTTCGAAACAAGAATTCTTTTCAGAGGATCTTCGGAAGAACCCTAATTTTGAACCTCTTCCGAAGATCCTCTGAAAAGACTTCTTGTATCCAGCAGGTCGATAATCTAGTTCATCGTTACATTTTTCGAAACCAAAATTTTAATTAAGGACCATATATAAACCCAAACAGATTTCAAATCTGTAAACAAAAATTCCGTTCCTTAGGTGGGTTGACAAATCCGCCGCCGTAACGAACGTACATTCTTCGAAACCAGCAATAAAAATTAGACAAAATATAAAAGTTTTCACAAGTTTATACTCGAAAAAAATTAAACTAAAGTGGAATAAAGATACAAGATTCAACATAATTTTCATCCGTATAATTTATATCGAACTAAACGTAAAGCAAATAAAGGTAAACAACTACAAAATTTGACAAATATTCAATACAAATATGAAGTCACGGACCCACCACATAAACGCTCAACTTTGTCAGTTTAATCAAACTACCATTTCCACCCTATACGAGTATTAATTACAAAATAAATTGCCTAATCAATAGTTTTCATAAAAAGTTTACAGCGAAAACAGTCATAAATAAAACACAACGAATTTCTACCGATTATTACAAAATTAATTAATACTCGGGGTGATATCTAATTGACGGAATGTTGAAACGATAAATAATCAAGCTTGGAGGTAATTAAATGTCAACAAAGTCAATAGGCAACACGTTAGAAACCCACCCGGGCTTCTACCAAGATTATTACGCAAATTTTCGCTTCACAAGAGCCGGGAATAAACATTTACTTCAATCAAATTTCAAGGTCGGTTCAAAACATGTTTCCTTAACTTCTCAGACCTGCTCAAATATCTTGTAACCTTACTTTTTAGACTAAATAATGAATCTTTTTAATTGCGATTTGAACTGAAAGTCTTCCTTTGTTTCGACTTGTAATTTATAATTTATAGCTGGTCATAAACATTCCTCCGCAGGCGTGGAGTCTCCCAAGGCAGTCTCTTATGTCCCATCCTAACTCTGTACATCCCTATGCTGGTAATACTCAGACATGACACTTGAGTTACAGAAAGACCTCCTCCCCCAGCTGCTGACCAGGAGGTCCTCCTAAATGTCCTCTATCAATCTTATATAAATCTTCAGATTCTCGATAACCTACGGATCTGTAGTTTGGCCGACGAAAACCTTACAACGGAGGCTATGATAAGTGTAGTAAAAAATAATCTGGCATTTCTGGACCATCGACGCCCACTTCCCTAGATATCGTTCTGGATCTAACACCACCAAACACTTCATCCAAGGAGAAACTGGTGGTACAATTCACAAGCTAATGCGCACGGGTTCAAATAGTCTACCAACATAAAAGCTTCGAGTAGAATGTCAAGTGATAAGGTTGTGAGGATTCTTATCGATGATTCGTGCCCATAATTCACATTTGACTAAAATTTCCAATTAAAAGAGAAGTAGTTGACTAGCAGAAAGGAAATCAAATGAATATCGACTACATCTGAATTTGGTTTTATAGAAATAGAATTTATAGAAAAAAAACTAAAAATCCCATACGCCTTTGTCAATACGCTACTGTATTTAATCTGCTGGCTAAGAGGCCACTGTGCTTAAATTATGATGATGGCTATAACCAACAAAATATCGGTCATCTGCTCTGACAACCATGTTAGTAAAAGCAAGTACCTAGTAAAGTTCGGAGTCATCAGATTGTCAGACATTGTGAACTCAGAGTAGAGAAGAAACGAAGAGGCCATTAAATTGACGAACGAGGGTTTAATGAGCACACCAGCGAAGAAAATTTTTGCGGCATATCACATTGCTTAAAACGTAAATCCATCGAACAATGTGTCAAGAATAAATCCTTGATTCGTCATAGAAATTCTAAACATCCTAAATCTGATTAACGAACACTGGATAACGATGAGGATATTTTTTCTTCTGTGTTCATAGGTGTCAAAATTAACTTCATTCTAACAGGATGTTTTAAAGTCCACCTTCCCGTTGGGTGTGGCGGTTAACCCACTTTTCACAAGGTTTTTCCACATTGTCCTCCATTAAAATTTTAAGCACTTCCAGGGAGAAGAAGAACCAACTGTACATGTCCTTTGAATGCTGAGATTATTAAACCTCAAAATGGAAAATCTGAATATACAAATGAGAACCGGCAACTGTTGAAATGTCTTAAGCTGAATGAACAACTCTAGATTGGGATCTTTGATAGACTAGTAGATTGAGTACTAATAACCTACAACCTGTGTTCAGCCATAGGTATACAAGTAATGCCAGTTATATTGAACACCTAACTAACCTTTTGGTATTGCGGTCAACCCACTTTTCAAGAGGGTTTTCATATTGTTCGCCATTCAAATTGTATGGACTGACCAAATAAGAAGAAACAACTGAACTATGCTAAATGAGCTTCCTATTCCTGAGAAAGCAAGAGCCTAAAATTACAAGCTGTTGATAAACCATTGGGATCTGTTGGTCATGGTGCAGAATATGTTCTTCGATTGCTGAGAATATTATCAAAGGAAAATCTGAATATGCAAATGAGATCTTGCAACTTTTTTTTACGAGGGTTCGCAACAGCAGAGGTCATATAAACCCTCAGGGTGCCGGTGTTTTTGAAAAAAGCCCATTTGTAAGTATGTCGGGTACGAATGCAGGGCCGCTGGATTCGAACCCGGGACCTTTACCTTACAGTGATGAGCGCCGGGTCAAAGACTAAACCTTGCGGCCACCGACGCCCCTGGTTGACTACTATTGACCTACAACCTGTATTCAAAGATATACTGCCATAGGTAGTGCAAGTATTGCCAGTTATATTGAAGGGCTTAACACCTAACTAACCTTTTGGCATTGCGGTCAACCCACCTTTCAAGAGGTTTTTCATATTATTCGCCATTCAAATTATATGGACTGACCAAATAAGAAGAAACAACTGAAATATGCTTAATGAGCTTCCTCTTCCTGAGAAAGGAAAAGCCTAAAAATACAAGCTGTTGATAAACCATTGGGATCTGTTAGTCATGGTGCAGAAAATGCTTTTTGATTGCTGATATTATTATCTCTTAGGATATGGAAATGAGATCTGGCAACTATTGAAATGCCTTAAGATGAATGAACAGCTCTAGATTGGAATGGTCGATAGACTAGTAGGTTAACTACTATTAACATACAATCTGTGTTCATGGATATATAGCTATATAGGTAGTTCAAGTAATATTGAAGGGCTTAACACCTAACTAACCTTTTGGTATTGCGATCAAACCACTTTTCAGAAGCTTTTTCATACTGTTCTCCATTCAAATTTTATAGACTGGCCAGCAAAGAAGAAACGACTGAACATGTCCTATGCTTAATGAGCTTCCTTTTTCTGATAAATCAATAGCCTGAAAATACAAGCGGGAGCTGTTGATAAACCCTTGGGATTTGTTAGTCATGGTGCTCAAAGACGTACAAAATGTCAACTGCTAATAACCTACAATTTGGGCACATGGATTTACTACCATTAGTGGAGAAATCTTTATCAAACTGAAGGATTTACCGTCCAACTGCTCGTTGGGTGTCGCGATCAACCCACTTTTCACTGTTTTCCATATTGTGCTCCATTAAATTTTGTGGACTGGTCAGAAAAGAAGAAACAATTGAACAAACATAGAACATGTTCTATGCGCTTAATGAGCTTCCTTTTTCTGAGAAAGCTATAGCCTGTAAATACAAGCGGGAGCTGTTGATAAACCTTTGGGATTTGTTAGTCATGGTGCTCAAGGAAGTATAAAATGTGGCAAAAGAAATCTCTTTCAAACAGAAGGATTTAACGTCCAACTTCTCGTTGGGTGTCGCGATCAAACCATTTATCAATAAGTTTTCCATATTGTTCTTTATTAAAATTTGATGGATTTGCCTAAAAGTACAAGAAACATATGAATATGGTCTCTGATATCTGGAACATTCCAGATATTCCAGAGCGTGAGCTGTGCAAAAAGCTTTTGGATCTGTTACAAAGCTTTAAGCTGAACTATGAGCTCTAGATTGGCATGCTCAATCGAGATCTATTGGCCCCGTGCGCATAATCCTTGCTTCAAGGGTATTGTATTCCAGGACAGAGGCATGATAATAATTTCATAGTTCAAAAATACCACTGCAAACTTTGGAAGCATGCATGTACACTTTGAGCAGTAGAAAAATGTTTGTGCATCTGTATCTGAAGGATCACTGAAATCCTTTTTTGGGGTAACTGACATTCCTTCTCTTGGGAGAGGAAAAGCCTAGTTCTGAAGGTACGCACGGGAGCTATTAACAAAGCTTTAGAAGCATCACGAAGAGCTCTAGACGGTGAATAATAGATTAATATTGGTCTCAGTACGCAATAAATAGTCCTACTGCTAATAACCTATAATATGGGTTTATTGATTAACTGTCGTGTGTGGTAAAAATGTTAAAGTTAATTCTACAGTAGTAATTGGACAAAATGAAAGGAAAAGCATGTCGATTTCAACAGATAAATTTATTATATTGTACCGAATTTTATGCTTTTCTATCAATTTTAAACAGTAATGTTTTAAATTAGATTTTCTTTAAAACACTAATAGCAATCAACGTTTCAAGTTATTGTCGAAAAGTATCTTCCGAGATATTAATATAGGAAATTGGTGTTGAAAGTTACTGGAACTTTTCCTTTTGTGGTCGTGGCTACATTTGTCTCCAATAACTGGAGATTAAAGGCTTATCGTCTGTTTAATTCTTTAAGTTAAAAAGGAGTAACGAGATGAAACGCTGGAAGCTAAAAGGTCTGAACGTCAGCCTTTAACCCGGATATCTTTTTCAATCAGCGCTCGTTTCTCTAACTTCTCGCTTTTGAGATTAGGAGTTATTTCGTTCTCTCGTTTTTTTTTCTTTATCCCCTTTTGTGCAAACAGTACGCCCAAATTAAGAAAAGGGCCTTCGCCCCGGTTAAAAAGGCGTTCTATCTTTTCCGCCCCCCCCCACGTCGGACTTCATTTCTGGACTATTTTACAAGGAGTCATTGAATTACTTCATTTATTTTTCCAGGTTGTCCAACGGCCATGTCAATTTCGAAAACTTCTGGCAACTCGCGAAACGCGTGACGGAGTTCATCACCTGGAAGCAAGTTCACTGCCCTTTTCCGAAATCGGCTAAAATCATCACGTACCTCCAAGCCACGCCGGTTCTGAGTGAAGATGGTATGTATATATTATAAATAACATTGATTAATTATATTTTCCTTTTTAAAACATGAGATTTTTTTTACAATGGATTAGAAAAATCTTTTAACATGGCCTGAATTTCAGAACCTTTACGTTAAAATTTTCTCCTGGGCTGACTTCGTTTAACTTTTAAAAGGCTTTCTTTATGCCTTTTTAGACTTGACATTGTTACAGAATATGCTAAATAGTTTCATTTTAAAATAAATTGCAAAAACTACATCGGCATTCAACATATGCCTCCACCGAGGAAAAATATTTATATTCGCTGGGTTAAAGCAATTATCTGGATCAAGTTGGAACATGGATGGAACAACCCTCCGCATCTTATATAAAAGCGTATTCCTCCCCTTGGCTACATACGTTGCGACATGCTGGCTTGACAATTTAAATACGAAAGAACAAACGGTTCTAGGTAAGGCCGAAAGTTTTCTAAAAGGCTCTGTTACGCTCGATCAAAACGTACTGTTCAATATTGTCGCACGGTTTCAAGGCTTTGTTACCCATAGCTCACGTTCCATGACTTGGTCATTCAAAGCCCGTAGTCGTCGCTTTGCGAAGACTCGCCGTCCAGGACATTCCACCCGGGGGCATCAAAATTCCGTGTTCGAGAGAGAGCGAGAGAGAGAAAGAGAGAGAGAGAGAGAGAGAGAGAGAGAGAGAGAGAGAGAGAGGGAGGGAGGGAGCGAGAGAGAGAGAGAGAGNACAGGAAGTGTTTAGTCAGTTTTATTTAGTTAGAGGATTAGCAGTGAGGATTTAACAGGAAGTGTTTAGTCAGTTTTATTTAGTTAGAGGATTAGCAGTGAGGATTTAACAGGAAGTGTTTAGTCAGTTTTATTTAGTTAGAGGATTAGCAGTGAGGATTTAACAGGAAGTGTTTAGTCAGTTTTATTTAGTTAGAGGATTAGAAGTGAAGATTTGGCAGGAAGCATTTAGTCATTTTATTTAGTTAGAAGTTGAGGGTAAAGATTTAGCAGGAAACATTCAGCCAGTTTTATTTAGTTAGAGGTTTAGCGGTAAAGATTTAGCAGGAAGCATTCAGCCAGTTTTATTTAGTTAGAGGATTATCAGTGAGGATTTAACAGGAAGCAATGAGTCAGTTTTATTTAGATAGAGGATTAGAAGTGAAGATTTGGCAGGAAGCATTTAGTCATTTTATTTAGTTAGAGGATTAGCAGTGAAAATTTAGCAGAAAGCATTTAGTCAGTTTTATTTAGTTAGAGAATTTCCAGTGAAAATTGAGCAATAAGCAGTCAGTCCGTTATTTATTTAGTTGGTGAACAGTGAGTAAATTAGTTATTCAGTTAGAGATTCAGCAGTGATTTTTCTCACTAAGCAGCAAGTTTAATTAGTGTTTCAGCAGTGACCGAACTCAGAGTTTAAATACTAAGCACTGTCATGGATACAAAGTGCTTTAAGCCATTACTGATAACAGTTGTCAAGAATATGTCCTTAGTTATTGCAGACCGCCTGGAAAATCCTTTCCCTGACGATATCTTCATCAAAGTCACGCACAATTTAATTTTTTTTTAAACTTAGTTAGCGGTGTTATTTTTACGTGAGATGCACTGATTATTATAAACTATAATTATAAATCTTTTTGTAACAATATTGGGATTTTTTATGCGTTTATTCAGAAACAAGGCAACCGTTTTATTATTTCTCTTGTTACTGAATGAAACACAAATAAAAATATTATTACATACATACTATTTTTTTAACAAAATCAAAAAACAACAAACAGATTACTGAAATTTTTTTTCGTTCCTTTTAAATTTATATTATATTAATTTTTTTTAAACATGGATTAATTTTACAAAATAAATATATTTAACTACGATGTACGCGCAACGCGAATTGCCTCTTTTGTTACGACTTATGTGCAAATGTTACAATATTCATAAACGATAATGGCTGATTGAACCTGCATTAGTGAGGCGGGTAGTGGAGGTAATGGCCAACACTCTGGCCGTTCTCCTTGACCGATATCTGATTCCAACACTCATTGTATTGACAATATTGCAAATTTGAGCTATTCTAGTGGCCTGTGTATAACAAATAATACTTTGATATCGTTATTTGATTAAACGGTGAATATATCATATATATGTTAGACATTTCCTTAAATGTTTGATTCTTATCCATTCCAAAAATTTTGCTGATAAAAACAAATATTATCTTAGTGGTAATCTAAACTTTTTCTTCAAATTGTAAGTGTGTTTTAATCATTTTACAGGTCGCGTTAGCTTTTAAATAACTTCATAAGAACAAATTTACGTTTATGCTGTTCCTATTAAATTTGAGGTCAACATTCCCAAAACATGAACAAATATACCGGCTCTTAGTGGAATTTATATATAGCTGCGGGATAACACTTTAAAGCTAGAATTAGATAAAATTTTATTTATTTGCTAATTAATTCAATGATTATTAATTTTTAACTATTTAATTGATTATTTATTTGTTAAATGATTTATTGATTATTTACCCATGCGTTAATTATTTGGCTAATAATATGCTTATATTTTCTATTTAATTGTATCTATCAATTTATTTCATTATTAAATTAGCTAAATTTTGACGTGTGAATGAGTGAGTAAATATTTAGTTTTTATCCAAATCATGGCTAATGTGGAAACACAAGGTCATTAAAAAAATATAATAATAATGTGTGGCGTTTAGGGAACGTTAGTTAATGAATATTTGGAGATTATGTGATGAGGTTTGGTGTGACATAGGGTTTAGAAAAATATTTTCTTTGTCGGGCCAACGTTTCGATCTTTATTGAGATCATATTCAGGGCCTGGGATTTATAAACATTGTTCAAATTTTACAAATACATGTAGGATATGAAAAAAAAATTTACACATGTATTTTTTTTAAATTGATTAACCGCTGATTAACGGCCAATACGGCGCTTCCCTAGACTAAACCTGCATGACCGAACCGTCATGTGGGCTTCAAATCCTTTCAAGCGCCTTCCTAAAAAAATTGTTAATATTTAATACTATTTTGTTTTATCAAACTAACACGTCGGTTAATTTAATTATAATTTATAGAATAAAAGTAAATTACAAATATCCCTATTCATTTTTGCGCAGTTTTAAATCCCTGATTAACGGCCAATACGGCGCTTCTCTAGGCTAAACCTGCATGACCGATCAATCATGCGGGCTAAAACTTTTTCAAGCGCCTTGCTAAACAGAAATTTATTAATATTTAATACTATTTTGTTTTATCAAACTAACACGTCGGTTAATTTAATTAAAATTTATAGAATAAAAGTAAAGTTAAAATATCCCTATTCATTTTTGCGCAGTTTTAAATCGCTGATTAACGGCCAATACAGCGCTTCCCTAGGCTAAACCTGCATGACCGATCCGTCATGCGGGATTCAAATCCTTTCAAGTGCCTTCCTAAAAAAGTGTTAATATTTAATACTATTTGGTTTTATCAAACTAACTCGTCGGTTAATTTATTAAAATTTATAGAATAAAAGTAAATTTCAAATATCCCTATTCATTTTTGCGCAGTTTAAAAACGCTGTTTAACGGCCAATACCGCGCTTCCCTTGATTGTTCTATACTAGTCTGTAATTTATTTTAGATTGTATTAGGTTGCTTTTGCTGCTAGGAAAGAGTTAAAATATAAGAAAAGGATTGCGATGACTTCCGCAAAAGTTATGATTTGTGTGTTACACAGCTAAAAAACATTGTGAGAAAATTGGTCCTAGGATATTCCCCTATGGAACGCCGGCATGATGTGCTTGATGTCGGAAATCCTGGGCCGATATTCTCCATAAACTGGATTACTTGTAGAACAACGTCAGAATGAGGAAGCAGGTGTGACGAAGGAAACTTATTAAATTGAGAAACTGTGCGCCAAATTTTTCAAGTGTTCATCTAGAAAAACTCTTGAGGAATTGTTTTCTGAGGGGATATCTTTTCGATTTCTCGTTAGGCATGCTGACAGTTGAATGGAATGTAAACGGATGAGGACGATGCCAATGTGGTATATGTTGATTTCAGTAAGCTGAAAGTATTTGTTAAATAACGTCTTTGAATAATTGCCATTTCATAAATATTAAAATGGTGTTTTAGTGCATTCTAAATATACTAGTTTGAGCAAATTTCTCTTTCTGTTTATTTAAGAATCAATAATCAACGTTTGAATTCCTGCTACGTCATATCTGTTTCATGCAATCCATGTAGAGAAATTCAAAAACGTGAAATTCGCGTTGAGGCTGTGATGCCTGTTCCTGTTTGCCATTAAAAATAAACGGAGACGGGTTGAAGCGGCAGCTACGTTGGAGAAACTCCATACGACAACCCCTTGCATTATGTATAAAATATTATTAAAACAGAAAGCTGACCGTGTCGAGCGGACGAGGTTTCCTTTATGAATTTATTCAATTCCACCATCAGATTTAGCACGGAATTCATAAATGGCAACTGCGGTTTCCACCCAAAACGCGTATCGGTTCCGTTTCCCGTATATTTTTTGAGGTTAAAAAACGACCGACTATTCATCAATACTATCTGTCGTTTTCGAAAAAAAATATATAAAATTTGCAAGGACTTAACTCTTTTCTTGGTACGTTATATGTACATTGATCGTTTGCTTCCCATCTGACGATGATATGGGTGGCAGTTTTTTCCTTCTTATTCTGTAACCTTCTAATGAGGTTATCGTTGTGTAGGTGATTTCTCAGATTCCAGCTCTATCACCCCCATTGTTATACCATGTACTGTAGCAATAAGTCAGTTTTGAAGAAGGTTCTTTAATCGTCAATTATCTGGCACCCGTAGTGTTCATCATTTTTTTATTTTATTTTGGGTGTATACATTTTGAGAAGAAGGTGATAAACCTTGTGATCCCAATTAGAGTTTCGGTGCTTGGGAAGGTGCTTCACCAGATGACCTTTAGCTTGTTATTCCTTATCGAAGAATCAAGCATGAAACTTATTATCAAGTTATGAG